TGACCGAACGAAAGGATATTTTTGAAAACTTTCTTCGGCAATATTGTTCTAAATTATAGCAGAAATCGATTGATAAATGTTTCAAGTCGCTAAGTGGTCTGGTTGCCGAGATATGGGCCAAAAACTGCATTTTTGCGAGGTTTTTTGGCTTTTCCGGGAAATCCAGGAAGGAATTCCGTGAATTTTTTTGGCCCACAATCATCCTCGGATTTTGCTTAACATATTTGCATTGGAACTAGTCCTCGATATTCCTTCGTTGAGGAGGAGATACGACTTAAAGCTGCGGTAAAGCTGCGGACACACATCCATACATCCAGAAATTTCGAGGTTTTTTGGCTTTTCCGGGAAATCCAGGAAGGAATTCCGGGAATTTTTTTGGCCCACAATCATCCTCGGAACTTGCTTAACATATTTGCTTTTTGAACTAGTCCTCGATATTGCTTCGTTGAGGAGGAGATACGACTTAAAGCTGCGGTAAAGCTGCGGACACACATCTAGAAATGACGAATTAATAATCGCAATTCCAGTATGGAAATTGCGCTAAAAAATCATAAAAAAACTTTTAATAACAAGCTTATATGTAATAATGCACTAAAAAGTAGAAAATAAATAATTGTCTTTAAATCATAAATCATAATATATATATATATATATATATATATATATATATATATATATATATATATATATATATATATATATATAAAAGCCCATTGCGCACTTTTCTCTCTCTCTCTCTCTATCTCTGTCCGCAACATTTTTGAGGCTATGTGATCAGTATGTTCAGCGATACATGGAGGTATTGGTAGCCTATGTTATTTTAATGTGTCAGATTTTAGCTATTTATGTATTGCCTTTCTATGTCACTAATATGGTTCTTCGCTTTGACCAATACATATTTTATAAAATATTTTTCTCAAGTATAACATTAAAATATATAGACCTATTATTCACTTGTAACGGGTACCAACGGCTAGTATATTATGATAATACACTTCTATTTAAATAACTATAAAGAAAAACGTGGGAAACTTTAGTATCTATTGGATACCTTTACTAATATTTAAGAAGATACCCGCGCTTTTCTTTATAGTTTTTTAAATAGTAGTGTGTACATTTTTTCTACGTTTTAGTGCATTATTACGTAAAAACTTGTTATTAAAACGTTTTTTTCAGGAATTTTTACTTTATCGTATACAGAGTTTAAAGCAGAGGCGTAGCAACCCTTCCCGGCGCCCGGGGACAAACTTTCAATAGCGCCCCCTTCGGGAGCAAATTTTTACTTTGCACCCCCCCCCCCCCCTCAACTTTTCGATTTGCACCCAACCCCATCAAACTTTCGATTTGCACCCCCCCCCCCCCCACCCCTCACTGCAAAAAATGCAGCTCAAATGACATTTTTATTTGTTACTACAACCCATTTTGGCGCCCCCTAAGGTCGGCGCTCGGGGACATATGTCCCTCCCTGCCCCCCCCCCCCCCCCCAGATTTATCAAAATTTCGGCTTTTTATGCGTATTCGAGTCTGAAAAACTGGGTTTTACAATTCTGTATGTGTGTCTGTAAAATGGATAACTTGAGTACCGTTACAGCTAGGTTGATGAAATTTCAAATATAAGTAAAACATCAAATTTGTAGTTACGTTTCAACTTTTCAGCGATTTCCGATAACCGAAAATGGGACTTATTCTACTTTTTGTTTTTTAAAAGCCTATAACTTGAGTACTGTTTCAGATAAATAAAAGAAATTTTAGAAACATATAAAAGATCTAAAATTCCGCCTTCTGTCAAATGTTGAGTAATTTCCGTTGACCGGAAATAATAATTTACGCTATTTACCATTTCTTAAAAAACGAAAATGAATTTATAAAGTACTAATAATAGTCTGTACTATTATATACAGATTGTTTGGCGTTCACTTATCACTTTTTTCTGCGAGATTCTATTCTATTTTAAAAAGTAAGTAATCAAAAATGCATTGAAAATCATGTCTATATCCCGAATTGCCATCTCCAGTAGTGTTATATAAGAATATTCGAGAAAGCTCAGGGGAGAACACTCCCTGTTTATTTTGTCATTACTTTAATTTTTTACTTTCTCGTATATACGAAGTATAGAGAAAGTCTTGTAACCGCGCAAAAAATAGATATTTTGGAAAATCTCGACGTTTTAGGGCTCCTACCATAGTTTTGCAATCTTGTCCGTATGTCTGTATGTGTGTCTGTGTGTCTGTGTAAACGCGATAACTTGAGTACCGTTACAGCTAGGTTGACGAAATTTCATACATAAGTATTGTATCAAAATCATAGATCCGTTTCAATTTCTGAGCTATTTCTGGTAAACGGAAATGGAACTTTTTCTACCTTAAATTTTTAGAAAGCCTATAACTTGAGTACTATTTCAGATAGATAAATAAAATTTCACGTGTAAGTAAAAGTTTTAATTTTCTGCCTTCGATCAAATTTAGAGTAAATTCCGTCGACCGGAAGTAATAATTTACGCTATTTTCGATTTCTCAAAAACGCATGTGAATTTATAAAGTACTAATAATATCCTGTACTATTATGCACATTTTATTTGGCGTTCACTTGGTGAGCAATTGTTTTTGTTACGAGATTCTATACTATATTAAAAAATTTAAGTCATTAAAAATGGATTAACAATATTGTCTATATCCCGAGTTGCCATACCCAGTAGTGTTATAAACTTATATTAGAATACGAGCCGACCCGCGGCGTTTATACGCCGCTATTTAGTTGTTTTATTTTCTACTTTTCAGTAATTCATAATTTGTGAATTCGACAGTACCAATGCTGCCACTGAAAATTTTTGCTTTAAAACACTATCAGTAGCTCGTCAAGGACGATAACACCCCCCCCCTCCTTTCCCCAACCTCTACACCCCCCCCCCCCCCCCCATGAAAGCAGCCTCCTCTTAGTTACCTCCCCTAAGTTTAAAATAGTTTCAAACTAGATTATCTGCCCCTAATAGCCTCACTAAACCCGGCTCTACTATTGTAAACATTTAGCGTGAACCACAGCTCACCAGACTATGTGGGGGTGGGGGTGGTAGAGGCGCGCTTACAGCTTGGTGTTTTCTAGGGTCTCCAAGAAGAGAATTATATATATAAATTCGAGAAAGTTTAGGGGTGACCACTCCCGGTTTATTTTATTTACAATAGAGTAGCATGACTAAAAAACATTGCGCACCTAATGAACGTGATAACGCGCGTATAATAAAGTGGAATAGCCTACTAGTTTGGACACAATTTTAATTAATTAAAAAAAATTAATTAGGCGTCCGATTAAGTCAAATTTAATGTCAGATTGCATTGTTTTCATGTCTTGACACACGTACCAACTTCGAACCAAATCCGTCAGTTAGAAGTGGCCGAATTTTCGCTCGGGCATTTCGGTCACGACAGACAGACTGTCAACAGTGAAAGCAAGTTAAATAAAAGCTTTGTACATTCTATATAATAGTTTCGCTGTCTGTCTATGTATCTATCTATCTATCTATGTATCTGACAAGAACGCTCTAGAGAAAACACAAGCAAATTAAAAACATGCTTAGTAATTCGAAAAACGAAATATGACGTCGTATTGAGCATAGAGTAGAAAATAATATCAAGCCGGAGAATGCACACAGTAATATGACGTCATTGATTCTCGAGTAAACATTGAATAAAAAGGAAATTTTGTCTAATCTAAGTAGTTTGCGTGAAGAGTTTCTTTCATACAATTTTTCGGGTAGGGGGGGGGGGGGTGAAGCCTCACCCCCGCGTAAGAACGTCTGAGCCCCCCCCCCCTCCCCAACTCAAAAGAAATTTCTTCATCGATACTCTATAATAAAATTACCGCCTAATTAATGTGTCTAATCTAAAAAGTGGTTTTCTTGCAATTTCTTTAATGCAATTCTTCGGGTAGTGGCTAAGCGCGACACCAGTGTTTCTTTCAGACTTTTTCCTCCCCGGAGGGAGGAACTTTTTCTAATCTAAAAAGTGTTTAGCGTGTAGTTTTTTTTTTTCAAGCATCTCTTCCGGTAGGGGCGAAGCCCCGCCCAGATTCTTCCTTTAGTTTGTATGATCTACAAATGCGACCAGTGTTTCTTTCAGACTTATTCCTCCTCGGAGAGGGGTGGGGGTACTTGAAATTTTCGGGGGCGGGGGTAGAATTTTCTGGGAGGGGGCGGACACTGGAAAAAGTATATAATTATATTTCGTTGAATGGGACGGTAGACATGTTTTGGAGTGTGTGTATGGGGGGAGGGGGGGTGGCGAATTAGGGATATGCCTATGACTATATTTTGTATAAATTAAAGCACCGAGAAAATAGACAGCACTATCAACCTAGCGCCCGTTGTATCCTTCCTCAACGGGCCATTTTTCTCGTATGGATAGAAGAGTGAAATAATGGGAAGGGGGGGAATAGATAGAAGAGTGAAATAATGGGGGGGGGGGGGGAGGTAACGTGAAGATTAAAAGAATGAGTGCGGAAACGAAAATACGGGAGTTCAGGAAAATCAGTTGAATTGGTCGGAAATAGATTTCTGTGACGTCATGCTCTTCTAAATTTTTTCTCCCTATGTCCGTTATGCCACTCCAGGATAAAACAGAGCCCAGTCAAGCAGGCGTCAAGTGGTTGTTTCATGGCAAGAAAGATGGGTTTGTTACATAGCCTGCATGACACATGCCAAATGGCATATGCCACATAACACATGGCATAATGAAGGCTGACGACGGTGTTCATTGATTTTCTAGCTATTCGTGATCCGTCTATTTCGATCACCATCAGTGGTCTCACCTGTACTGCCTGTACACAACAGACCACCTCACATTCAGTTATCTCACCTGTACTGCCTGTACACAACAGAGAACCTCGCCAATTCTTCTTTCACCAAGCTACAAGTTATGTTAACAATGCTGACAACAATCAGAAACATTTTCTAATATTCCAAATGAACTTCAAAAGCGAATGAGCCCTCTACCTCTGACCCCCCTTACCTCGAGTTGTCTAGACAGGTAGTCCTGTAAAGCATTTTCCAGAGTCTGGCTTTCTGAAGATCTTTTGCCCCATCCGGGTGCACGTTTTCCCCATCCGGGTGCACGTTTTCCCCATCCGGGGGCACGCTTGCCCCAGCCTGGCGCCCTCTTATCTTGGTCCATGCTATCGTCGTCCACGTCCACCTCCTGGCCCCGCTTGCCCCAGCCCGGGGCCCTTTTCTCAGCCGACGCCTCGCCATCGACGGCTGTACTGCTCCTCCGACTCATTGATGACTGAAAGAAATGTTTCAGAAGACTTTATACAGTAGGCCTGTTCATTAGTAAAACAGATGACTAAATGTAGCAAACAGAAGACTTTATACACTAGGCCTATTCACTAGTAAAACTGATGACTAAATATAGCAAACAGAAGACTTTATACAGTAGGCCTATTCACAAGTAAAACAGATGACTAAATGTAGCAAACAGAAGACTTTATACATTGTTCACTAGTAAAACAGATGACTAAATGTAGCAAACAGAAGACTTTATACAGTAGGTCTATTCACTTGTAAAACTGATGACTAAATGTAGCAAACTTTGTTTCCGGCTCTATGTGACGTCATTGAGTTAACGGATAGGTTGGGCCGTTGCCATAGCAGCAGCAGAAACTTTAAATTTATGTTAATTAACTTTGCACGTGTGATTTATTGGAGCAGACACGCTCCTATTGTCAATTTACGGCTTTCTTCGTTCTGCATGGAACCATCTCTTCATCTCTGGCTCCACATTAGCTCTACACAGCAAACTCTGACTTTTTCTCTCGGATTTATTTTAAAAACAACGTCCCACTAAAACAACGCCCCACTAAAACAACGTCCCACTAAAACAACGTCCGACTAAAACAACGTCCCACTAAAACAACGTCCCACTAAAACAACGTCCCACTAAAACAACGCCCCACTAAAACAACGTCCGACTAAAACAACGTCCGACTACAACAACGTCCCACTAAAACAACGTCCCACTAAAACAACGTCCCACTAAAACAACGTCCCACTAAAACAACGTCCCACTAAAACAACGTCCGACTACAACAACGTCCCACTAAAACAACGTCCCACTAAAACAACGTCCCACTAAAACAACGTCCTACTAAAACAACGTCCCACTAAAACAACGTCCCACTAAAACAACGTCCCACTAAAACAACGCCCCACTAAAACAACGTCCGACTAAAACAACGTCCCACTAAAACAACGTCCGACTAAAACAACGTCCCACTAAAACAACGTCCCACTAAAACAACGTCCCACTAAAACAACGTCCCACTAAAACAACGTCCCACTAAAACAACGTCCCACTAAAACAACGTCCCACTAAAACAACGTCCCACTAAAACAACGTCCCACTAAAACAACGTCCCACTAAAACAACGTCCCACTAAAACAACGTCCCACTAAAACAACGTCCCACTAAAACAACGTCCCACTAAAACAACGCCCCACTAAAACAACGTCCCACTAAAACAACGTCCCACTAAAACAACGTCCCACTAAAACAACGTCCCACTAAAACAACGTCCCACTAAAACAACGTCCCACTAAAACAACGTCCCACTAAAACAACGTCCGACTAAAACAACGCCCCACTAAAACAACGTCCCACTAAAACAACGTCCGACTCAAACAACGTCCCACTAAAACAACGTATTTAATTTAGCATCTAATGATCTCAAATTTCAAGCGACAAATCCTGACATCGGATATTGACCAATGTGTCAAGTTTGAAACAAATATGTACAAGAACGAGGAATCAAGTTCAATTAGCTCAATGAAAGCTTGAAGTATAGAGGGGTTTTTTTGTATTTTATATCCGATAATTTTTATTTCCAATATTTAGTGAACATTATATGTAATGAATTTGTGTCTTATAACGGTTAAATGGCACAACTAGACAAAGAACAGAATATGTAATGAATTTGTGTCTTATAACGGTTAAATAGCAGCACAACTAGACAAAGAACAGAATATGTAAGAATTGGTGTCTTATAACGGTTAAATAGCAGCACAACTAGACAAAGAACAGAATATGTAAGAATTGGTGTCTTTTAACGGTTAAATAGCAGCACAACTAGACAAAGAACAGAATATGTAAGAATTGGTGTCTTTTAACGGTTAAATAGCAGCACAACTAGACAAAGAACAGAATATGTAAGAATTGGTGTCTTTTAACGGTTAAATAGCAGCACAACTAGACAAAGAACAGAATATGTAAGAATTGGTGTCTTTTAACGGTTAAATAGCAACACAACTAGACAAAGAACAGAATATGTAAGAATTGGTGTCTTTTAACGGTTAAATAGCAGCACAACTAGACAAAGAACAGAATATGTAAGAATTGGTGTCTTTTAACGGTTAAATAGCAGCACAACTAGACAAAGAACAGAATATGTAAGAATTGGTGTCTTTTAACGGTTAAATAGCAACACAACTAGACAAAGAACAGAATATGTAAGAATTGGTGTCTTTTAACGGTTAAATAGCAGCACAACTAGACAAAGAACAGAATATGTAAGAATTGGTGTCTTTTAACGGTTAAATAGCAGCACAACTAGACAAAGAACAGAATATGTAAGAATTGGTGTCTTTTAACGGTTAAATAGCAACACAACTAGACAAAGAACAGAATATGTAAGAATTGGTGTCTTTTAACGGTTAAATAGCAACACAACTAGACAAAGAACAGAATATGTAAGAATTGGTGTCTTTTAACGGTTAAATAGCAACACAACTAGACAAAGAACAGAATATGTAAGAATTGGTGTCTTTTAACGGTTAAATAGCAGCACAACTAGACAAAGAACAGAATATGTAAGAATTGGTGTCTTTTAACGGTTAAATAGCAGCACAACTAGACAAAGAACAGAATATGTAAGAATTGGTGTCTTTTAACGGTTAAATAGCAACACAACTAGACAAAGAACAGAATATGTAAGAATTGGTGTCTTTTAACGGTTAAATAGCAGCACAACTAGACAAAGAACAGAATATGTAAGAATTGGTGTCTTTTAACGGTTAAATAGCAACACAACTAGACAAAGAACAGAATATGTAAGAATTGGTGTCTTTTAACGGTTAAATAGCAACACAACTAGACAAAGAACAGAATACGAAATGCAACGAGAGTCGTAGCTAAGGGGTGATGGGGGCCTGGCGTCGATCCTATGGGAGGGGGGGGGGGGCTAAACTAAGAAAACAGAATAAAGATTTAATTCTGAATTTTTGGTACTAAATCATAAATACTATTTAAGAAAAAAACTGCTATGAGTTACAGACCAGTGGCGTAGCGAGGTCGGGTGTCACCCGGTGCGGCACTTAATGGTGTCACCCCCCCAGTGGCGTTGCGACCCTTCCCGGGGACAAACTTTCAAGTTTTCGATTTGCACCCCCCCCCCTCAAACTTTCGATTTGCACCCCCCTCCTCAAGTTTTCGATTTGCACCCCCCCCCCCCCCCCCGCCCATCAAGTTTTTCTCTGTATATTTTGCTATTTTTTGCCTTGGTGTCACCCCCCTAAATGGTGTCACCCGGTGCGATCCGCACCCCCGCCCCCCCCCCCCCCCCCTCGCTACGCCCCTGTTACAGACTGATTTAAACGGATTATACATCAACAGTGCAACACTATGATCAAATGTATAAAAGACATGACTTTGAAAAGCGCCACTCATAAAATGGGAGTGGGGTTTGCTTTTTCGTCAATAACTATAAATGGATGGGGTAGGGGCGCAAAATGGATAGTTGGCCCCAGGCAGAGAAACGTGGCGCTACGTCTCTGGTAGCAACGCCTATTTATCTCTCGACATTTTTTAGGAATAAAATATTTGATTTAAACATCTAATCTGACATGGACTTAAAGAAATAAACTAAGACGTAGTCTGGGATACCTGACCTAATAAAACAAACAGGGGGAATGTAATTTTAATTAAGACAGTCTCAATCAAATTAGCACCAGATTGACTGTCGAGTAAATTAACGCCAGAACAGTGCTTGGTCTTAAGTAGTTCAAGGATGACAATCTGAATGTTAGGAAGAGATAAATACCCACCATGCCTTCCACCCCACCCCCTCCCATACCCGGGCTAGCGGTTTGATCAAAGCCAGAGTATGCATATCGCCAAGGGTCAATTTCGGGTCATGTAAAATTTAGGATACACGGAGTGAAAGATCATTTTTATAGCGAACATTTTTGTACGGTTGTTTTTTTTTGTTTCTGGCCATGGGTCACCACAATTTTTTTGGCCATAATATTCATAATAAAATTCTTTTTTTTTTTAATCCCACATTTATTTCATCTCTAGTCATCAGCGATAAAAAAAATTGCGCTTTTACCTGTCTTTTTTTGTTTGTAAACCCACATTAATAAATGAGAGTAAGCCTGCAAGTCAGAAGAAAGTATGACTATTGTATGTCTATATCTGTCCTCACAAGCTGATGATGAGAGTAAGCCTGCAAGTCAGAAGGAAGTATGACTATTGTATGTGTATATCTGTCCTCACAAGCTGATGATGAGAGTAAGCCTGCAAGTCAGAAGGAAGTATCACTATTGTATGTCTATATCTGTCCTCACAAGCTGATGATGAGAGTAAGCCTGCAAGTCAGAAGGAAGTATCACTATTGTATGTCTATATCTGTCCTCACAAGCTGATGATGAGAGTAAGCCTGCAAGTCAGAAGGAAGTATCACTATTGTATGTCTATATCTGTCCTCACAAGCTGATGATGAAAACTATATTATTAAAGCGAACATCGCAAACTGACGCTGTAAATACGGCGAACAGAAAAATGTCAAAGGAAATAAACCGGGAGTGATCTGCCCCGAACTTTCTCGAATATTTATATATATATATATATATATATATATATATATATATATATATATATATATATATATATATATATATATATATATATATATAACACTAAAAGAGATGGCAACTCGGGATATAGACATGATTTTTACAAACTTTTAAAAATTTGCTTTCACTGTCTGTCTAGATCGAAACGCGTGAGCGAAATATAGGGCACTTCTAACTGACAGATACGGCTCCCGGTCAAAAACCCCCTGGACATAAACCCCCTGGACATAAACCCCCCGACATAAGCCCCCTGGACAAAAACCCCCTGCGACATAAACCCCCTGGACAAAAACCCCCCGCGATATAAACCCCCTGGACAAAAACCCCCCGCGATATAAACCCCCTGGACAAAAACCCCCCAATTGAGGTTTATATAAG